AAATAAGGGTGATCTTCGGTGGACTTGTGTAATAGCCCTAGTTTCAAAAGGATATAATTGACAATTAATTATTTTATTTTATTGTGTTTTAGTTATTCATGGGTGCTTAAGTGTTTTTTTCAATTAATTGTTTAAAGGTTTTAAATTACAATTTTGACTATTTGCTTGATTGTTTAAATGTTTATTTGGTTAATTATATTGTTTGTTTTAATTGAATTATATGCTTATGTGGCATTTGAATGTGTAATTAAATGTGTTATGTTATTTATTTATCTTTAAAACAAGGTTGGGCTTGGATATGATTAATGGACTGTTTGTATAATGTAAATGGGTACAGTTTTTACCCATGGAGGTATATCCATGTATATATATGGGTATATATGTATTTAGAGTTAGTTTTAATTATTGGTATATATTAATAATTAAACTTGTTTTACAAGATAACTTAGATGCCTCAATGTGGTGATTCACATTTTGCATTAAGTTCTGTCCGGGGGAAAGGACTAGGGAGGTGGATGCTCTATTTTGCGATTCATTATTGAGTTCACAGTGGCAGTTTCGCTTGTATAACAATAACACGGGTTGTTATCACAGGAAATCAGGAAGCCAATTGCACATATTGGGATTGATCTTCGTGGAGGGGTACCTTACTCAGTTAGAGCTTAAGGTACTGACGGGCAATTTGTAGTTTTGTTAGTGCTGTCAGAATGAATGCCATTTCACAATCGACATTTCTTCTCAGTGCACTCAGATGATTATCAGGAACATCATGCCATCAAATGTCAGTTCTAGTGATCAGGTTTGGGGATAGACATGTATATAGCTGTCTATAAGAGTAACATTTGTTAGAAAGGTGGACGATGGATAACCGGAGATTGTTGGAGATCTTTTCCACTGCCTAAATCAATATGGGAGTGGGAAACAGTTGATTTGGGAATGTTTTCAATATCGGAAGCAAGGTGCGTTGTGGAGGAAGGTCAGTTTTTTTTATATATTGCATTGCCTTTCATAGGGGTTATTTATCCATTTAGGGGTCGCCTATCGATTTGTGTATTTAACACGTTTGGATGGGATACATAGACATTTTACACATTTATGCTATGGAACTTGGAGGAATGTGGATCTTTACCCTGTATAAACAATTTGGGTAAGGATAAGTAATTGCTAAATACGACTTGCGTGTTGAATAACTTTTATGGTTCCTTGATATTGGACTCATAAATTTTCGTGGAGGATTTGGAATTCAGTGGAGCTCCTGCATGGATCCACAAATGGAATTGAAATGAATTTTAATGAAAATAATTCAGAGTTTCGTGAATTATGAGGACGGAATTCCTTTTGTTAGGGGAAAAGAATGTAATACCCCTAGTTTCAAAAGGATATAATTGGCAATTAATTATTTTATTTTATTGTGTTTTAGTTGTTTATGCGTGCTTAGGTGTGTTTTTTTAATTAATTGTTTAAAGGTTTTAAATTACAATTTTGACTATTTGTTTGATTGTTTAAATGTTTATTTGGTTAATTGTATTGTTTGTTTTAATTGAATTATATGCTTAGATGGCATTTGAATGTATAATTAAATGTGTTATGTTATTTATTTATCTTTAAAATGAGGTTGGGCTTGGATAGGATTAACGGAGTGTTTGAATAATGCAAATGGGTACAGTTTTTACCCATGGAGGTATATCCATGTATATATATCGGTATATATGTATTTAGAGTTAGTTTTAATTATTGGTATATATTAATAATTAAACTTGTTTTATTAATCATAATTTAATATATGTTATACTTTTAGGGTTACGTATATTCTCATGTGTTTAGCCGACTGAGAATATAACTTGTGTGGTTGTTCTTTTCTTTCTCGAATTAAACTTAGAATTAGGGTTTTAGTTTTCTAAACCTATAAATACATTATTATGTCAGCTTAGGGTTGGAAAGATAGGTAAATCCTTTTTACGTACAATTAATAGAGAGAAAACAGAAAGGAACAGAGAGAGGTTGTGAGAAACAAACAGAGCCACTTTGGTGAGGGTTTGGCCGTGGCTTGAAGGATGGACGCAGGAGAAGGGAAGATGGAACAATAGGAAGTTTAACAGTGAGTTGGATCACCGAAAAAACTTAGAACGACGGCAACAGAGTTTTGCAACTAAAACTGTAAAGGCAAGTTCTTTCATTTCTCTCTCTTGTTGCCTGTGTTCTGTGCATCCTTAGACTGTCTCTAGGGTTTTAATTGATCATTAATTAAAGTTTACACGCTTGTTATATGTTAAATCAGATATTTTTATGCATGGAATTGTTTTGTTATAGTTCTTGTATCTCTGTGTTTTAGTCTGCGTTAAAAACATGTTAAATCGGTAACGATTTTAACCACTGTAATTGATTTAAACTGTTGTGAACAAGTCATGGGGATGATATTAGGTGTAAATAGGTCTCTTAAACTCAATATTAAAGATGAACCGAAGGTTGGGAATGGCCGGAGACGAAGTTGATAGTCGAGACGGAGCAACAGAGCAAAAAAACGGACGGAGAAGGCTCTCGGAGAGGGAGAGCCGGCTTTGGGAAGCAAAGAGCCGGCTACCACTCTATTAGAGTCGGCTCCAAGGGTATTGGAGCCGGCTCTAGGCTGATTGGAGCCTGCTCCCAAAGTTTTGGAGCAGGCTCTACCTCAAAACTTCTTCCTGATGTTGTTTTTGACTCACTGTTTTGAATTGGGCGAGGTTTGAACTGTTCTGAAAATTTTGGGACTTCACAAAGGGATTAAAGGGTTTATTTTGGGTGTTATTAAGATCTTAGATTAATCGTGGTTGGCCTCTGAGTCAGTGGGACGAATAATATTAAATTGATAAACTTTCTATACTGTTAACGAATGGAAGACGAATTAATTGCTTAACTAAAATTTAGCAATTTAATGGATTTAGGATGGTTATAAAATCTATTTTTAGATGTATAATAGGGTCATGTATCGATTAGACCTTATCTGTGCATAGGTTGGATCTTAATTAAGGAACTAGTAAATTCAGTTTCATTAATTAAATGGGGGTTGTTATTTTAGTTGTTAAACTGTTCTGTCTGTTTTAGCAACTATGGATTAGAGCTGTGAATTTTCTAAGTTATATTTTATCTTGTCTCAGATGTGCAAATTGACACTTTACTATTATTGAGATTGTTATCTGCTGGACTGTAATAGGGGTTGATTGAACTTTAAGTTAGATGAACTAAAGTATCAATGACAGGGATGGTTTCTGGATTTTAACTTGATGAAATATTAAACTTTGTCTCGTTAATTACATGGATGGATTCTGGGTGTTTAGTTGATGAATTGTTTAAATTCTGAATTTATCAACTATATGGATTATGTGGATTTATTTGATGTACTGCTTAAAATGTTGCATCATTTACGGATCATATGCATGGTATATACCGGTATGGGACGGTGACATACGGAGGGACGGATTAGATCAAAAAGCTAATTCTAACCCATTCATACATACGGAATGGATTAACTACAACAGTTAAATCCTACATAGTATCATGTCCTGTCAACTAAAACAGTTGAACGACATATTGGATGGTTGTTTATATTTTCTGTTAGTAGGATGGATAAGGATTTAATTAAACATTTAAATCCTAATTTTATGTCGTGTCATGGCAACGAACGGTTGAGCGGCACTACATTGGTTTGGATGGGAATTTATATATATAAATTATGGTACCACGATCTGAGCTTGAGTCTCATAATCGACGGTTAGGGAGCGAATATGCAGTAGGATGCGTAGCTAGCTATATTGGTTGAGGTATACCCTGTTAGGCTTAGGTAGTCATGCCCACTCAGGTGCGTTTTTGCATGTTGCCTTCTATTCAGGTTGAGACCTTCAGCATAGCCTAGTGAAAGTCCTGTAGTGTGGTTATATGTATATATCTATTTACGAACTATATAGATATGGTTGAGACATCTAGGATGTATCTGCGTATCGGGTCTCTGTTTGGATTGTAGTTAGGATAGAATTTGTTCGTGGGTCTGACCCACTATTATTTTTCATGTAACGGACGGTTCCAGGTCTCAGAGCTTGTTCGTACTAAGTAGAGACGGCTTCTCATCCTTCCGACGACGTAGGAGTTTCTTTGGGATTTAGCATTGGAGTTCTTCAGTTGTTGATTTTAGTGTTGGAGTTTTTAGGGGTCCACCAGATAGATTCCCGAGTTTTATTAGAAATGGAGAGTTGGATGTATCAGAATATTTCTTTATTTATAAAATTTTATTATGAGGTTTTAACATTTGGATTATTGTTCTAGTTTCTTTCAACAATTTATTTATTCCTGTTTTTTTAATTGGTGTTCGTTTATTGCTAATTGGTTTGATATCTTCGGGTAATCGGGTGTGGGCCTGGCCAACCCGCAACCGGAAATCCAGGAGTATCACAACTTGCAGGTAGGGGAGAGTAGAGCTCGGTAGGAAATTTCTACGTCAAGAGAGCCCGAAGCTCCATAGGAGTCAACAAGGTTGGGATATCCGAACCCCAAACGAAGTCCCGAGACGAGAAAGTGAGGTCATCACCTTTTCTGAGGAAGATGCCAAAGGAATTCAGCAGCAGCATGACGATCCATTAGTAGTGATAGTAGTCGTGGCCAACTACATAATTCATCGAGTATTAATCAACAATGGTAGTTCAGCTGACTCGTTATTCATTAATGTTTTCGACAAAATGTGTATTGGCAGGGGAAGGTTAAGGCCGACAAAATCCCCCCTCGTTGGTTTTTCTGGAGAAAAAGTCTTTCCCTTGGGAGTGGTTACACTTCCATTGACAGTAGGGACATGACCAAAAAAAATATCTGTAATAGTGGATTTTCTAGTGGTGGATTGTCCGTCTACTTACAATATAATATTGGGGAGAACGGCTCTAAATACTATGAGAATCGTTACTTCCACATACCATTTATTGATACACTTTCCTACAGAGTAGGGCATTGGTGAATTAAGAGGTGACCAAGCAACAACGATGGAATGCTACGCAGCCGCGTTGAAAACAAAACAGTTAGGGGAAACATTGGCCATTGAGACACCAGAAGGGTTAATAGAGAAGGAACCCACTCAAAGGGTAGAACCAATAGAAGACCTTATGGAGATAGATTTGGATGAAGAGGGAATCGGGAAAAAGGTGAGTATAGGGTCACTACTTGACCCACTCATCCGGGATCCATTCGTCTAACTTCTCAAAAACAATAAAGATGTGTTTGCATGGACACATGACGACATGCCTGGCATCGACCCCTTTATTATGTAGCATCGGCTTAATGAGGATCCATCTTTCAAACCAATTAGACAGAAAAGGCGAGTGTTTACCCCAGAGAGGAACCGCGCAATATCACAAGAGGTCGAGAAGCTCCTGAAGGCTGACTTTATCCGAGAGGTACAATGCCCCCACTGGCTATCAAACGTGGTCTTGGTTAAGAAGACAAATGGCAAATGGAGGCTTTGTGTGGATTTCACAAATCTAAATAAAGCCTGCCCAAATGATAGTTTTCTTTTACTGAGGATTGACATGTTGGTTGAAGGGACAACAGGACATGAGTTATTGAGTTTTATAGACGCTTACTCTGGATACAATCAGATCCCCATGTATGCTCCTGATAGTGAAAAAACTTCTTTTATCACTGATAAAGGTCTGTATTGCTACAAGGTAATGCCGTTCGGGTTAAAGAATGCCGGTGTCACCTATCAGAGGCTAGTTAACACAATGTTCAAGCAACAGGTGGGCAGAAACATAAAGGTTTATATGGATGACATGTTGGTAAAGAGCCTTAAGGCTAAAGACCATTTTGTTGATTTACATGAATCTTTTGATGTGCTTAGGGCATATAAGATGCAGTTGAATCCAAACAAAAAGTGCCTTTGGGGTATCCTAGGGAAAATTTATGGGGTATATGGTAAGTCAACGAGGAATTGAAGTAAACCCTGAGAAGATTCGAGCAATACTAGATATGAGATCGCCTAAATCAACCAAAGAAGTCCAGAGGCTGGCAAGAAAGGTGGCAGCATTGAACAGATTAATCTCCCGAGCCACCGACAAGTGCCTTCCTTTCTTTAGGATACTAAAGAAAGCTTTCGAGTAGACCTCAGAGTGCGAGCAGGCATTCATTGGGCTAAAAAACTATCTTAGTTCACCACTGTTGTTGTCCCGAGCAATTTTTGGGGAAGAATTGTACCTTTACCTAGCAGTTTCCCCTATGGCGGTAAGCTCGGCTTTAGTTAGGGAAGAAAGCGGTATATAAAAGCCAGTGTATTATGCTAGCCGAATACTTCGGGGAGCAGAAGAAAGGTACCCGGCAATAGAAAAACTAGCGTTTGCGCTGGTTGTGGCAGCAAGGAAACTCAGACCATACTTCCAGGCACAAACCATGATAGTGCTGACAGACCAACCACTGAGGCAGATCCTTTACAAGCCAGAGACATCAGGACGCCTTATGAAGTGGTCAGTAGAATTTGGTGAGTTCGACATCAGGTACTAGCCAAGGGTAGCAATAAAAGGTCAGACACTTGCTGATTTTGTGGCAGAGCTTTCTTTCCCTCAAAAAGAAGATGAGGTCATAACCTCTGAAATGAATCATGAGACCCAGTTAGGCGATACTTGGTCACTTTATGTGGACGGGTCATCAACTGCCCGAGCCTGTGGGGCAGGATTAGTGCTTATATCACCAGAAGGAGAGAATCTGAAGTATGCACTTCGATTTGGATTCAAGGCTACCAATAATGAAGCAGAGTATGAAGCTTTAATAGCAGGACTGAAGCTGGCAAAAGCTTTCAGAGTGCAACACTTGAAGGTGTTTACTGATTCTCAATTAGTTACAGGGCAAGTTCTTGAAGAGTACGAAGCCAAAGATGACAAAATGAAATTATATCTTCAGAAGGTAAGAGACCTAGTTGGTTACTTTAAGAAGTTCATGATCCAGTAAATACCCAGAATAGAGAACGAGAATACAGATGCATTAGCTCGACTAGCAACTACAGTTGAGCTTAAGAATACTAAGGCTATACCACTTGAGTACTTGGAAAAGCCTAGTATATTGGAAGAATATGAAGAAATAAACCAGTTAGAACCAGGGCTAGAGTGGGCAAACTCAATAATAAAGTACATCATGTACGGGGAACTACCACAGGACCTTGTGGAAGCTCAGAAGGTCAGGATCCGAGCACCCAGGTATACGTTCATGAATGGAGTTCTCTACAAAAGAGGATTTTTTTTGCCTTTTCTACGTTATGTGTCAACTGAAGAAGCTCATTATACTATGAAGGAGATACACGAAGGAGTTTGCGGGAACTATGCAGGGGGCAGATCTTTGGCCAACAAAGCAATCCGCCAGGGCTATTATTGGCTTACCATGCAGAAGGATGCATTATAATACGTGTGAAAGTGTGATAAATGTCAACGATTCGCCAATGTTCCTAGATAACCCCCAGAGCAGCTAGTACAGATGTCCAGCCCATGGCCTTTCGCCCAATGGGGAATGGACTTGATTGGCTCCTTAGCTACAGGAAAAGGGCAAACCAAGCATGCTGTCGTGGCAATCAACTATTTTACCAAATGGGTAGAACCCCAACCACTGGCCACAATCATAGCAAACAATGTCAAGGATTTCACGTGGAAATCGATAATATGCAGGTTCGGTATTCCCCATGTTATTATTTTGGACAACGGGAAGCAATTTGATAGGGCTACTTTCAAGGATTTCTGTTCTCATCTAGGAATAAGAAATCATTATTCTTCTCCCGGCCATCCGCAGGCTAACGAGCAGGCCGAAGTCGCCAATAAGTCAATACTAAGCTTAATAAAAAAACGATTGGCAAAAGGCAAAGGGGTTATGGCCAGAAGAACTTCCAAACGTGTTGTGGGTTTATAGAACCACCTCAAAAACCCCAACAGGAGAAACTTCTTTTCTCCTGGCTTTCAGAAGTGAAGCTATAATTCCAGTAGAAACTGGTCTACCAAGTTTTAGAACCACTAACTACGACCCTCTCCAGAATGAAGAAAAGCTGTTAATCAACTTGGATCTAGTTGAAGAAAGAAGAGAGCAAGCCCAAGTTAGGGTGGCATCATACCAGTAAACGATGTCCCGATATTACAATTCTCGGGTGAAAGAAAGGAGGTTCAAGCTCGGGGATTTTATATACGCAGGGTCACCCAAGCCACTAAGGAACCGAACGAGGGCAAGCTTGATGCCAACTAGGAAGGCCCTTATAGAGTTGTTCAAACAAAGAGACAAGGCACCTACTGGCTGGAAACGCTAGGAGGGAAGTAACTTGGCCATCTTTGGAATGCTGAGCACCTCAGAAAATACTATCAGTAGAATTAGACATTAGTACGTGCCCTTAGTTTCATATTGTCTAGTGCTACTTATAGTTAGTACTGCTTTTAGTTTCGCTTTAATATCGTGTCATGTAGATTATTTCTATTCATTACCATAAGTATATCTTCGGTTTGACTCTCAATAAAATCGATATTTATCACATTAATTGTGCAAATTTATATTTTCATCTATCTTGTAGATGTAAAGTTGTCCCCGTATAATAAGGGACTAGCATTAATGTGCCCCGTATTATAAGGGTCCGAACTAAATGAATCCCGTAATTCTTATCCCTGTACTATAAGGGACTTACATTAAATGCCCCGTATTATAAGGGCTCAGGTTGAATGAATCCCGTGATTAATGTCCCTGTATTATAAGGGATTGTCACACAAAGGAAAAAGTGCACTGCACTTAAGGACTCGGGATAAATGAATCCCGTAGCCCTTATCCCTGTACTACAAGGGGTTATACTAAAATAAGCTGCATTAAAAGGGGAGGCAAGTTATAGAGTTCAAAAAAGAACAAATAAATAGTAGCGCCCAACCCAAGTCGGCAAAACTACAGAGTCGTACTCAGAGCAATAATAAACATTGTTCTTAAGGAAATGCAATAAAGACAATTACACATTAAAAATGTAAAATGCCCACTGCTTTGGGACTCCAGGGCTGGATTCTACTGATCTCATCCTTAATGGCTCGGTTCTCCTTCTTTTGATCCTCCTTGGCATAGTCCACTTTGAAGAAAACTGCCTGGACTTTGGTCTCCAGAAGCAAATGGCTGAAAATGCTGGAAATCCAGGTCTTCATAGGTGGCCATAGCTTGTTGTCTAAACTCCTCAAAACCATCAAAAAAATAATTTGCGTTGACCTGATCAGATTCGGCTGAGGCCTTATACTCCTCCACGGTAGAAGATTTTTTAATCACTAGCCTAGCTTGGAAGTGTTTTTCGATCCTTTCTTTCTCTCTAGTGCAGCTGATTTCAACCTCTTTGTGAATTACCCTTTCAGCTGTCAGCTCCGCATCTAATGCTAGTATAGACTATTCGGAGACCTTGGTACGTCAAGATAACTCTTTAGCGAATGCTCCCATCTACGTGCACAAGTAAAATTATTAGTTATCGACAAGGAATATACATTACTCAAGAGTAAAAGGAGGTAAGACGACCTTACCTTGCAAACATTCCGGGCATGAAAGGCTAAAAACTGCTCGGAGGGAAGCCCCTTGAGCTTTTCAGAGTCATATGGAGGCACCAGCATGTTCTCAACTATGTCATTCGCATAATTCACATCATTTAAAATAGATGCACCAGCTTGATGAGTAAAGGCGTTTTCAGGGAGATGCATTTATGTATCAAAAATCTGTTCGTGAACAGCTACAAGGGGAGTGTCGTCAACAGGATTAGGATTCCCTTGATTTTGAAGCGGTTGGGTTCTCTTAGGATAGCGGGGAGGTGTAGTTTTCTCCTTAGAACGCTCTTCCCAAACCTAAGAAAGAACGTCACTCCCAAATCTCCTCGTCGACAGGGACGAGGAGCCCTATGACGAGGCTTTACTTTTAGCACGCTCCTCCTGAACCTGGGTAAGAATATATTTCCCAAACTTTCGCCCCGACGACATGCTGGGTGAATCTAAGTCACAAAAAGAGAGGTTAGTGTTTCAAAAGAGAAGCAACGTGAGTCATACAGAGACGCTTGACACAAAGAAGATACTACACCCCGACAAAGTCTAGCAGTGAAGAGTGACAGTGGGGTCACTAAAGAGGAAAAGGACCTTGACGAATGTTGAATGGCTCTGTTTATATTTTCCTCTGCTTCAGCTGGCGCACCCAAAGTACGAAAACCTAGAACAAAAAAATAGTACGTGTCATTCGCCATGTAATAAAATATGCATGCATAAGTAACTCACCATTAAGGTCTATTTGACCCCGTTTACGAGGAACGAAAAATCCTAGTTTGACACGGGTATCTTGGTCAGAAAATTCCCAGTTCCTTCCTGAAATGAAGAAGAACCGGCTTCTCCACTCCGAATTTGATTTGGATAGTCCCTCAATTAAGGACACTTACATCGGCTGGTTAGGTTCCACCACGATCGATCTGCCTTCTTTGGAGTATGACATAGCAAAACCTCGCTAATAGTTAAAGGAGGGTTACCGCACGCCTTCCATAGGACAACACACCCTATTAAGGCCTTTTAGGCATTTGGGGTCAGTTGTCCTGGGGTAATTCCAAGGAAGGAGAAAAATTCCCTAATAAATGGGGGAAAAGGTATGTGTAACACAGCAAGAAAGACACATTCAAAGAGACAAATTTCACCATTTTGGAGCCTTAGAGGCTCTTTCATGGAGAAAAGGGAGCTCGGATGTGGATACAAGAAGGAATATAGTATAGTAATCTAAAATTTTTCAGATCAGACTCCGAAATTGAAGATCGAACGTTGTCTCCCATGTCTACATTAACACGATCCATCATATAGAAAAAACAGAGGGAGAAAAAGACATTTACCTTGAAAGATTATGAAGGTAGAAGCTTACTCTTCTATACTCCTTAAATAAGACGAATAGGTGAAGAAGGAGTGCCATGCTTTCCCGATGAGAATAGTTGATTTTCGAACACAAAAAACAAAAAAAACAAGTAATAATGAAGGCGTGCCTAATTTCTTAGACTTTATTTGATGTTTCTGGTGATTCTTCTACGCACTTTATTTGATTCCTTTACTCGTGATTTTTCTGAAGCTGCTGCCTACTCCTACTTTACTTTTTTGACCCTGTAAGGGTAAATATATTTTGATGTGATGCCTACTGCTATACAACATACAAGTGTTGCAAGCTGTGCCACGTGGCAGCCCATCTCCTCGCCGCCACATGGCAACCTCTTACACTGCCACGTGGCAGCCATATAGCAGCCTCTCTTACAACCTCTCCTAAGTGTGCCGCGTGGCAGCCTCCTGCCACGTAAGCTACCTCTTTTAATTATAAAAAGTATTTTGGCGCTTGAAGGGAGTTTTGAACCCATGACCCCTGCCACCAAGGTGGAGGGTCTTAACCATGTGGGTTACATGAGCCCATGTGTATTTCTCCAGCAAGTAAAGTATATATGTGTTATTTTTACTTGTTGGACAAAAATAAAAAATATATAATAATAATATGTAAATATATATACGGCATGGTGAAGAATAAGTTAAAGGAATAAATCTTTACATTATCTACGTTCGACATACAAATCCGAGAATGGGGGGCAACTGATGAGGAGTCTTCAGCCAGGAAGTTTGACCGTCACACAAAGCTGTAAATCAAGATAAACTCCACTATCTTTGATAAGGATAAGAACATGTTCTCCCTTCCGTGTTGGAAAAGTATGAGGAATACTGCTCATTCTTCAATACAACTTGACATCTTTATAAAGAGGGCTTTCGGGTTAACATAAAAAGTACGACACAAATCCCTAAGAGAGTCTTTTTAACTTTCTTTCCACCTTTCTGATCTAGCACTGACTTGATCGTCGGTACTACTCCGGTACTCGATCATCTTTTTCTTCCTTTTTCAGGTACGACGTCGCTTCGGGTCACCGCGGAATCCTGCATCGATAGAATCAAACTCCCAGTTAATTGGATATGCAAATGCTAGCCATCTCTCTGATCCACACAAAGCTCATTCACAAACAGGATATGTGTTTACCTGTGGTGGCACTGCTATATCATGGCGATTTATAAAACAAACAATGATTGCAACTTCTTCAAATCATTCAGAGATACTCGCAATTCATGAAGCAAGTAGAGAATGCATTTGGTTGAGATCTATGATTTAGCATATTCGAACAACATGTGGTCTCTCATCAATAAAAGATAACCTTACAGTATTATATGAAGATAATGCTGCATATATTACACAGATGAAAGAGGGTTATATCAAAAGTGACAGGACCAAACATATCTCACCAAAATTCTTTTGTGCGTATGAACGTTAGAAGAATGGTGATATTGATATTCAGCAAATACATTCAAATGAAAATTTAGTAGACAAGTTCACTAAAGCACTACCAACTACGACGTTCAAAAGGTTGGTACACAATATTGGAATGCGTTAACTCAAGGATCTTTAGTGTTGAACTAATGCAGCAATAAGGGGGAGCTCTAAATTGAAAAGATATTGGCATACTGTACTCTTTTTCCTTCGCTCAGGTTTTGTCCCATTGGGTTTTCCTGACAAGGTTTTAATGAGGCAGTTTTAACCTATACAATACCATTTTCATATACACAGGAATATTGTACTCTTTTTCCCTTCGCTAAGTTTTTATCCCACAGGGTTTTTCTTAGCAAGGTTTTAACGAGGCATATTCTTAGTGTTGTGTAATGGACCCCAAGGGGAAGTGTTATATATATATGGTGTCCACTAGTGTTGAATTAATGGTGCAATAAATAAAAGTTAAATGCAGTGCAATAAATAAGAGTTAAATGCACTTGGTTAATGGTGCATTAAGGGCTTGTTTGGGAAGTGTTCCTAAGTGTTGTGTAATGCTCCAGCGCCGCTACAGTAGCTCATTTTGAGTCCACAACATGTTTGGCCCACCTTATTTTGTTCTCAACAGTACAGAACAACCCAACATTTCGGGCCCAATGTTGAAACAACATTTTTGTGTTCCAGTTTGTTCCAACAATAGTTGGGCTAGAAATTCATTGTAGCGGCGAGAACAATGGCACTGTAGTGGAGAAAACATTGGCCCAAACGCAACACAGGTTTATATATGACTTGCGACACTTTTCTAAGGTTTGTTACGCGATCTCTTTAGGTGATTTCAAGGCGAATCCATTGTTCTTGCGTTCTTATTGAAAACGACTACAAATCTGTTGATTTTTTCTTCAAATCGCCCAACAAAGTCTGCTATTTCACGACTTGCAACACTTTTCTAGGGTTTGTTACGCAATCTCTTCAGCCGATTCTGGAGGCGAATCCACTGTTCTTGCATTCTTACTGAAAACGACTATAAATCTGTTGATTTTTTCTTCAAATCACCCAACAAAGTTTGCTATTTCAGTGTTTTCGTCGCAGAACAACGCAAGTTTGAATCATTTTCGCTTTTCTTGTTCGATATAGTTAATGTTCGCATTTCATGTTCAATATTTTTGAGTTTTCTGCTTACAAATCCACAGATGGGGTGTAACATGGATTTTTGTACTTAAAATCCTAATTTAAAACTTTAATTTTTCAATTTTTGGTTCCAATTCCATGGATGGTCTGTAATTTGGATATTTCGATTTTTTTATTGGCAGTCGTTCAAATACCGAAAACCGATTTGTCAAAAATGAATACAAAGAGAATTTCTGAAGCTCCCATCTTGAATTCTCGTGACGAGTTTCCTCCCCAGAGACCATTACAATTGAACTGATTCATATAGAAGTGTCAAAGTATCCATGGATGATCTTGAACTCAATTCTCCTTCAGTTTGTCAAGAATCAAAGGCCAAAGCCAAGGAAGTTCAAGAAAGAGTGTTGCAAGAACAATAAATGGAACAAGAAGAGGATGAAGTGATGAGTTCTTATGTCATTGAGATTAATCCTTACATTGGGGAAAGGACAAGCGAAGAGCTTAGCGTTGATGAAGCAATTGCATGGGCCAAAGAGAAGTTTCAAACACAGTTTTTCCGAGTCTCTATTTGTGTTTATTATTTATAATCTCTACTGTTGCATGTCTGCCAAGAGAATTTATGTAAAGATTGCATATCACCGAAGCATTTTCTCAACAGTTTGAGGAGTTTTGCCTTCACAATTCACTAGTGTAGATTGAACTTGAAAATCTGATTTATTTACATTTTCAGATCCTGTGATACAACTTTGAAAGTCGAAAATCATAGAATTGGTCCCCTCTACTGCAATATAATTTACTATAAATTTTAATGGAGTGCAAGTTAATTTATGTTCCTCAATTTTTCAAGTTAATATTTGTTCTCATATTTTTTGAAACAAAACACCTTGCCAAACATGTTCTACCATGTTTCTGTTCCAAAATTTTCACCGCAAATTTTCGTTGCTAAACATGTTTTGTTCCCATTTCAAAATATCACATTACAAAACACTTGTTCTGTTCTAGGTTAGAGCATTACACTACAAAACACAACACTTTCCAAACGGGCCCTAAGGATGTTGACTAAAGTTTGGCTATAAATACGGATTGTTCATTGTTATATCGATGTACTTGGATTTAAGAGAAAGTAATAAGATCTCTCTCCCCTCTCTCCATCATTCTCTCTCTATTGAAGATATAATTTTATGTTTCATATTTTCTTTTAGATCCACAATAGATTCACAACACTAAATTTATTTAAATTTGAATTGTTTTCTTTTTAAATATAAGGTTAATTTGAATTGTTTTCTTTTTAAATATATGGTTAATTTCACCGACATCCCTTTAAATTTGACCAAACATCACATTAAAATTGGCCAAACATCACATTAAAATATCTTTTGAAAATTACTTTCACTCACAATATGTGGTGTCAGAGATGCAAAATGACTTAAATGCCCTTTGATTTTGTCAAAAAAAAACTCTTTAACCTAAGAATTAAATAAAAAGAAATACCCCTAAATATTTTATAAATTTACAAATTAAATTATATATCTATATTGCTTCTTATATACAGTACTATATACAAATTAAATTATATAGATAGATATCGCATCCTTTCTCCTCAGGTCGTTGCCAATGCAAATTAACCCCAAAATCATACAAATCAAGCCTTCTCCTCGGTCGTTGCCAATGCAAATTAACCCCAAAATCATACAAATCAAGCCTTGGCCAACACAAATCAACCCTAAGCTCGAGGAATCATCCTGCCTTTAGAATCCCATTAGCATAATAGCAGATAAGAAGAATCATCCTGCCTTCAGAATCATTTACCCATTGGTTTGAGGAATAAGGCACAACTTACGTGAATAATGATGTTTCTTCAATTCAAGCTTTTTATGAATTTTTGTAGAGCACTGCAATAGTTATATATATTACACTCTGATAGTAAAAGTCACGATGGCAATAAAGTTGAGTATAATAAAATAATTATCAACAGAAAATAAACATATGAATAATGAGACTTGAACCAGATTACCCAGCACCACATTTCTCCTGGCTCAATCAAATATTTTCCGAAAAGTGATGAATGTAAAAAATTAATAAATCTATGCTATTATTTGCTCCATATTTAGAGCTCATTTGGATGACATTAGTTATATAGGATATCAATGATTTCTGATTTTTTTTTTTAATTAGTTCCAAATAAACTTTAATTTCTTTTTATTAGTTACCCAAAATAATTGTGAACTATATATATATGAAAAAGTGTTTATCTATTGAGTGTGTAAGGTTGTGTGCGTTGAGAAGGGGGGGGGGGGGTGTAGGTGAGAGTGATGAGGGCAAAATAGTCATTTTAAATTGTTGATATTTTGAAATAAAAATTAATAAAAATTTAGGGTTAAATTTGTCTTTTTGTATATTTTTAACGGTGTTAATGACGAAAAAATAAAATTGAACCAAAGTGATAATAATTTTCGAAAGATGTTTCAATGAGATATTTGGCCAAACTTGAAGGGTTGTTAGTGAAATTAACCCATAAATATATGTATAGGAGGAGTCTAGGAGAGTCTCGACTTCAATGCGGAATGAAACAAGTTTAAAAAATGCTTTTTATTTTGTAGAACGGATTTGGAATAAAATTGCTGCATTAGACCAATTTTATATTTTTCAATGTACAAAATTAATCACCTCACTTATGTGTTATTTTTCAGGTTTAGTTATAATTGTATTTCTTCTATTTTTAAGATTTAGTTTCATTTCTGTGGTATTTAGTCAAAAGTAATAATTAACAAATACCTTATTCATTTTTCCATCATTGGTTAATAGAGGTTAATAGACACTACCACCTTGTCTTCAACTTATATAAAGGATTCTTTTTAGGCAAATGTTTTAGGAATAATAATGAATGTTTGAGAGCAAATATAAATTGTCAAAACATGATTTGCATACAAATGCGTAAAACAAATTATTAATAAAAATAACTTATATGCATGAGTTTTTATCACTAATGATGTAATGTAGTAGTATCTTTTTACCTTCTATTGTTATGAAAAGTTGAGAATTCAAGCGTTATAGATTTTTTTTTTGTTAGAAAATTTGTAAAATTATATATACACACACTTGTTAAAATGGTAAACAAAAAATAACAAAATGACTTATTTTTTTCTAATTTTTTCTCTTTTCATTTGAGTGATTGTATTAAGTCACCTCATTTTGAGAGAAAAAGGAGATGAAAATTGAAAAAAGCAAGAGTTTAAAAGGAATCCACATCCTCTCTCGTACGGTTTCATTTTTGTTTTGTATCCGTGCTTCCTATGATTCAATACTATCAGGTCACCTCCTTTCAAGAGAGAAATGAGGAGAAAATAAGAAAAAGCTAGAATTTGAAGGAATCCACATCCACTCTTGTGCGGTTTTATCCCGTGCTTTTATTAGGTGTGCAAAATTTTTTTAGAGAAACCAAAAAACTGAACTAGACGGATCTAGTATGGTGCTTCCAGAGTTGTTCTCTATCGGCATGACAATGGTCTGAGCAATAATTGAACTATTTTGAAGGCTAAAATCGAGAACCAAATCGGTCTCTTATGGTTCGGTTCCATTAGCCATACAATTCGATTTGGTTCAAATTTTTATGCAATCATTAAAACTGATTTGATTTCAAAATACTCTTAATCGGAATCATAATCGTGTGCCCCCTAGCCTTAAAATAACTTATGTAATAAATTATATTTGCTTAAGCAACAACTCCATTACACTTTTGCAAGAATTATATTATAGACAATTCTTAGATTCTCAGCGAGGACATGTTAACCAATACCAAATAGGCATATACAATTTAAATTATTCTTTTTACTGAATTATAAATAATAATTAATTCACCATTAGTAATTAAACATTAACATCAATCTGTAATACATTAAATTTGTAATATGTTATTGATCTACATCAATAGTAGAATGGTGTACCCGTGAGGATCTAAGGGTGTGTTTGGTAGGGTTGATTTGGAGGGATATGGAGAGGAAAAAAAAAAAAAAAAGATAGTGTGAGAGTGTGTTTGGGTAACTTAGTTGGAGAGAAAAAAGAGAATAGGGAGAGATAGGTATCCCTCCCCATCCCTTATAAACATTCTCTCCTAATTTGAGAAGATAGAAAGAGAAAGGATAGCGGAGTAAATTGTAAACTCTTAATACTAAAAATACCATCCACAAATCAATATAAATACAAGTTATTTCATTTATGTCCTAATTTTGTTTTCATCCATTTTCTTTATTTTTTTTTTATTTATTTTTTTTGTTTCTCTCCTAATTTGAGAAGATAGAGAGAGAAAGGATTGTGGAGTAAGTTGTAAACTCTTAATACTAAAAATACCATCCACAAATCAATATAAATACAAGTTATTTCATTTATGTCCTAATTTTGTTTTCATCCATTTTCTTCATTTTTTATTTTTATTTTTTTCTTTTGTTTTTATCCATTGCATTAAACTATCACAAAGAAACATTCCAAATATCCTATGTGAAATTTTAGAAATGCATAATGTGAAGTAGTTATAAAAGGGTAGGATAGTAATTTGGTCACTATCATTTTCTTTTCTCCCTTTTATCTTATACAACCAAAAATAACTACCATCTTTTCTTTTCTCTCTTAACTAATACTGTCATTTCTTTTCTTTTCCCTCTTGCCTATCCAAAAACACCCTAAGTTTCATAGCTATCTCTTTCACTAAGCGACAAACTATTTTAAAGTGAAACGATAGATGGCAAAACATTTTAAAATTCCAATGCAGGTGCACCAAGTGGACCAATAGAAATCGTTTACAAACAAACGGGTTTAGTTAATCAGAGTCCACATATCTCGCCCAATGTTACTCCGACCCCACAGAACCATCGATCTCTACTGATCTAACCGTTCATTGTGCAGTCACAAGATGACTGGCCAACCATCGGACCGACCAGATCGACATCAACATGGTCTCCACTACGCCTCACACACAGTCAAAAGGACGAGGTTTTCACGGGTCGCAATCACGTTCTCGAATCTAATACTCTAATTCACTTACGTGTATGTACTTCAAAGTCAAAAACACACAGCAAACACGCACTCACTATGTGAAAAGCTCTAAAAACAAAACTCGCATCTCCTACAGTCACCACCGTAGGACCACCTCTTTACTCCACTTTCAGACTACTCACAATGTATCATCACTCGTCGGCTCTCTCTGTATAGATATATATATCTGTGTGTTTGTGTGTGTGAACGTCATTTCTAGATAGCTCATAAAGTTGTGACATTGATTTAGTTACTGTGTATAAGTATGATTTTGTAGTCAATAAAACTTGGTTTCTTAATTAGGGTTTTAATTAGTGCTTTAATATCATCACTCGTCGGCTCTCTCTGTATAGATATATATATCTGTGTGTTTGTGTGTGTGAACGTCATTTCTAGATAGCTCATAAAGTTGTGACATTGATTTAGTTACTGTGTATAAGTATGATTTTGTAGTCAATAAAACTTGGTTTCTTAATTAGGGTTTTAATTAGTGCTTTAATACTACAAGTCCACAATGCATCACTTTTTACTTATCATATCATTTTGTGTGTATCTCTCTCTATATATACTGGTAGTATTTAAGTCGTTGATGCCATATGAAAAATATTCTTTTGCAGTTTTTTTCTTTACCCGCTGATTGGTGGCCTAGAAAAACTAAGAGATAGTAGAAATCTAAATATCATGCTTTAGGGTACTGGTTAATCAAAAAGTAAGAAAGTTTGTTTCTTGAGGCTAATTTTGCGATTGCACTATTCAAATTGTTGATTTCTACTTTTTTCCTGCACTTTCTCATTAACCAAACAAGGGTATCAATTTAGCTTCTATTTAAGTGGATGCCACATGGAAATTGATCTCTTGCACTTTTTTCTTTACCCACTGCTTGGTTGCTTAGAAAAACATAGTTGATAGAAATCGAATCTCATGCTTTATTGTATTGTTTAGTAAAAAAAAAAAAAAAAGTTAGAATAGGAATTCCGTTAGGCTCAGTAAGTTCTTGGGCCAATTCCTGCCATTGCAATATTCAAAATTTCCATTTATATAATTTTCCTGTATTTTCTCATTAACCAAACATGGACATCGATTGACGGTTGGGTTTGATTTGTGAAATGATGTGTCTTTTGCAACAGGAGAGACACTTTTACAGTGAAGATGGTGAAGATATCAATTCCATTGGTTTTGGTTACGATGTTATGGTGGTATTGGACTGCAACGGCGGAGGCAGAGTACATGAAGTACAAAGATCCAAAACAGCCGGTGAAGGTTCGAATCATGGATCTTATGAGTCGAATGACTTTGGAAGAGAAGATTGGTCAAATGGTGCAGATTGACAGAACTGTTGCCACTGCTGAGCTAATGAAGGACTACTCCATTGGTAATAAATCTATATATGCATGAATTTATATAAATTTTTACTGTATTCTTCATTATAGACAAGGAAATGCAAAAATTCCTTTTCTTACATTCAAAATGCATTTGGGAATTCAATGGGGACATCTCACTCTCTTTAATATGCTCCTTTGACAATAATAAAGTGTCTAAAAAGCTATAAGCTTTACTCATTTATTAAATTTTATATTATCTTCTTCTTTAAATGTGAAAGAGTAAGTTAATTTATTAATGAAATGGTGGGACTACTCCATTGGTAGTAAAAGTATATTATATGTATAAATGCATGAATTTATATGAATTTTAACTGCTTTCTTCATTTTAACAAGGAAATGCAAAAATTCCATTTTTTTTTTGGTTCGCACACACTTTTGATTAGCACTTCTAAAATGTGTTTAGGAATTCTGTGGGAGAATCTTAGGGCCTGCATGGTTTGTAACTCTGAAAATAGTTCTCAAAAATTCAAAAAACGGAACAGCTTTGAAAACAAACTTTTTATAACTGAGTTTTCAGAAAACAGCTATTGCACAATGCAGAATTTTTTGTACAGTTTTCAGTTTTCAGTTTTCGAAGAACAGAAAATTGTTTTGATAGTTACAAACCAAGTAAACTCTTACTTTCTTTAATATGCTCATTTGACCACAATACTAGTTTCTAAAAAACTAGAAGCTTTACTCCTATATTATTTTTTCTCTTATCTTGTTTATATTTGCACGAGTAAGTTAACTTATTTATGAAATGGACTTATTCCTAAAAGTCAATTGAAGTAACAGTTCAGAATGATTGAATTTTCGTTTGAATTTAATAGAATAAGAAACAAAACAAGAGCTATGAATCATGGAGGACATTATGGATTGAAGATACACTTGGTGTTAGTGCAGGGAGCATATTGAGTGGAGGTGGGAGTACACCACTACTAAATGCTAGTGTTGCAGATTGGGTTAATATGGTGAATGGTTTTCAGAAAGGGTCATTATCTAGCCGCTTGGGGATCCCAATGATATATGGAATCGATGCTGTTCACGGGCACAACAATGTCTATAAAGCTACAATATTTCCACATAATATTGGGCTCGGAGCTACAAGGTAAGTGAAAATGTTAAGTTCTTTGGGGGAACATTGTTCTAATTATCTTAAGGGAAAAAAAACATGCTGGTCGTTCATAGAATTCTAATTTTTTGCTTTATTTATATTATTATTTATGATTATAATCTAAAATCAAGTTATAAGAAGTACAAACACTTTTATGAAGATGTTTCATCAACGTCGGATCAATTTTAGATGCTTCACTGACACTTTTCAACACGTGTCTGGTATCTCATAAACGTGTCCATGATTTTGATTTTAAACAGCTGGTGGAGACATTTTAGACACTCTAACAGGACGTATGTTGCACAAACATGTTATAATAGGAACAGTGTTCAATAATCTTAGAAACAAGATGAACGGACCCTGTAATGTCCAATCTCTCTCTTTTAAGAAAATTTAACATTGTTCATATGACCCCGACAAATCAAACATTCAGTATTTCAGCGGGGGGAGAATAGCAGTGGTGTATTTAACGTATAATTTTTATGGACATTAAAGAGTATATATATATATTTTTTTGATAAGTAAACATTAAAGAGTATATAAATTAGAAAATTAATCAAAGTTCTAAAATTGTTAATTTACTAGGAAAAATAAAAGCGAAGTTCTACAATTGTCTTCCATAATAAATGTATACAATAAAAATTCATAATTATATGTCGCCATATCCACGCCTTATTATGTTCTATTCTTTTAGGATTGGGTCAGTGTCATACTGTGTCCATGCCCCATGTCTGTGTTTATGCTACTTAAACCAAGGTTTCATTCTTGCATCTCCTCCTACTTATTTTTGTGTTTCCAAACGAAAACATGATATTGTTTGTCAAAAGATGTCATCTATTCATTCTTTTAACACATTTGGTTAAGTGCGGACTACCGAGCAACTCTGTCAATTCAATCAAAGCTTGTAAAAATTGCAATATATTAATTATCTATTATATTTCTGCAGTTAGCATTGCATATTTTAATTCTTAAGCTTCTCTTGGACAATGAAATGTATATTTTCTTTAATTGGGTTGCATACTTTGACTAAATTATAAACCTTTCATGACAAGGAAGTTTCTGCTCACCTAAACACCATCTATTAGTGCTTTATTTTGTGGAAAAAGTATGCTGTATGATCAGTCTAATACAAATTTGCAATACAACTAAATATTAAAATTTCTAATAAATTTCACTACCTCAGGGATCCTGAACTTGTGAGGAGGATAGGAGCTGCAACTGCAGTTGAAGTCCGAGCTACGGGAATTCCCTATGCATTTGCTCCTTGCATTGCTGTAAGTAACAATATGGTTAAAATCTTTTAGTGGACTTGCAGATATTTTCATTTGTCAAGTGAGTTCCTTGTTTTCCTAGTTTCTTTTTTATTTTTTGCGTTATGAGGTTTGACAAATTTTGTGGTATCTTTTGTATAGGTCTGTAGAGATCCCAGATGGGGTCGGTGCTATGAAAGCTACAGTGAGGATCCTAAGATTGTTCAAGATATGACAGACATTATATTTGGGTTACAAGGCGAAATTCCAAATGGTTTACCGATGGGAGTTCCATATGTTGGCGGAAAGTATGGACTCGATAAAAGTCAAAGCATATATTACTTTATAGTATAAGCTTCAATTTTTGAAGTTGTCAATTGAATTCCTTAATTATTATTCATGCTGAACTTCTTGTCAACTTGTAGACTCGAAATAAATTAATAGGTATAGCTCCTCTGATTTTCAATTTATATCAATTAAATAAAGCTACACAATTCTTAAACCCAAGCAAATGAGAAACCTGAGCTTCTTTTTTTATTTATTTTATTTATATAGTTACCATTTAACCTGTTGATTTCATCACAAATTCACAGTTAATACATGGGTGATCTGATCTGATCTTATCATTTTGGTTATGTGATCAAATGTTTAACATTAAATATCCTGGGTGTCATCTTTGTTAGACCAAACTTTGATTATGTACTTGGGTACAATTACTCAATAGCTAAGAAATCCGCAATTACATGAACCACATTGCTCGACTTTTCCTCTTTTCCTTCCTGATGAGCTCATCTATTTACATATATTTATTATCATTTTGGCAGGAAGAAGGTTGCAGCTTGCGCAAAGCACTTTGTGGGCGATGGTGGGACAACGAAGGGCATCGATGAGAACAACACATTGATTGACAAGAATGGATTGTTTAGCATCCACATGCCCGCATACAATGACTCCATCAATAAAGGTGTTTCAACAATTATGGTTTCCTACTCTAGCTGGAACGGTGAAAAGATGCATGCCAATCGCACTCTAATTACTGGATTCCTCAAGGGTACACTTAAGTTTAAGGTAAAGTTCACTTGGTAACATCCACACTGAAATTATCTCTCAATTATTTGATATAGGGGCTTGTTACGTGGACCAATACTACGGCTGAACTGTGTCCTTTTAGGGAAACTCATATTAGCACAGATTTGCACTCAAACAACTATGTGCTTGGAGACCATTGCTTTCCATAAATGAGAGAAAACTTTTAGCTCCCTTTTAAAATTGGAATTTGAAAAAATGGTTTTCGATATGTGATGTTATGTTAGTTTATTTTCTTTTGTTGTCTCTTAGTGTGTCTTGGATGCCCTTTAGATTTGAAGGTCCCATTTTACTTTCAGTGGCATTTAAAGTAGAAATTCAGTCTAAGAAAGGGAAAAAGGAATTTTATCCTAGTTCATGGAATGTGATCATTCTTAGCTCTTCTTGAAACAGCAACATTCAAAACTTCTAGCATTATTTGTGAGAGGACTTCTGTCTTGTTAAATGTCTCTTCCAAGATAATGGCTTTTCAAATTGAAATGCTATATAAAATCAACATGTCAATGGCGCCACTCAAATTAATGAATGTTCAAACAAACCCCTAAATTATTAATGTATATGGAGTGAACTTTATTAGGCTATCTCCAAAAAATTGAAAAGGAAAAAGGACATATTTTACACATTCATGATCTTCAAATTCCCTTATTTTATTTTTATTTTTATTTTTTTATGTATGCCAAATCTAATATGTACCTTTGATTGTTACTTGTTCCTAATTCTATGTCAGATAGACCTGAAGTATCTCTGGCAACTGTACTAATTTGAATGAATTATCAGGGTTTAGTTATCTCAGATTGGGAGGGCATTGACAGGATTACTTCTCCACCACATTCAAACTACACTTACTCCGTCCAGGCTAGTATTCTAGCTGGCATCGACATGGTTAGTGACTCTCTTTATGGACTAATGTCAGTTTAAAACTTAATTGAAGATAAAACTGGCTCTCCCTGTATAGTTGATGCAACCGTATGGGAGTGCGATTTAAAAGTGAGTCGCTTCTCTTGGTGTTTTACAGATCATGCTGCCATTCAAATATACAGAGTTCATTGATGATCTCATCTTCCTGGTCAAAAACAAAGTTATCCCAATGGACCGTATTGATGATGCTGTGGAGAGGATTTTGCTAGTGAAGTTCAACGTTGATCTCTTTGAGAACCCTCTAGCTGATCTTAGCCTAGTTGATGAGGTTGGAAGCCAGGTTAGTAGATCGTTCCATTATTGGGTTTGAAATTTCTCACCTTTCGGATTGTTTGGCTATTAGTTGTTGGATGAGTATAAATGAGGGGAAAAAAATAAAACTCTTTGACTAAGATGGCATACTTTATATTGGCCATTCTATTTCTTTGGGTAAAGCTACTCAGTCTTGCCAGGTTCCATGATCTTTTTTCTGTCTATTTTTTTTGCCGAGACGGCATAGCAAAAATAAAATTAGATACTGTGATAAGTGGATTCCTGTTGTTTAAATAGGCACACAGAAACTTGGCCAGGGAAGCTGTGAGGAAATCGCTTGTGCTTCTGAAGAATGGAAAAGAGGAAGATGGTCCATTGTTACCCCTTCCCACCAATGCATCCAAAATTCTAGTTGCTGGTAGCCATGCTGATAATTTGGGTTATCAATGTGGTGGGTGGACGATCACATGGCAGGGATTTAGTGGCAATAATTACACAACTGGTATGGATTTTTAATGATTTTACTATATTAACTATTCTTAAATATGTTCAATTTTAGTATTTATATAGTGAAGATGATGCCGCCTTACCAAGAGAGGACAAACAATTGTTTCCCAAAGCAAACAATAGCAAATTCATTAAGAATGATAAACGAAGAAGTAAAAGAATGCTAGAACAAGGTGGAAAAAATGAGCAAACAATAGTTGCTCTAATTCTTTTAAGAATGATAATAATCACCCTCCCTCCAATACCCTAGCCACCCTTTGTATGGAGTCTCCTAACAGTCTTACTATAATTGGCTTTTTACAACACTAAAGGACAGTCAATAAAAATAAAATAAAAAATACATAAAATCAGGAAGTTTCCAAAAATCAGAACATGTAAAATTTTAAAAAAATCAGAATATGAAAAGTTTTCAAAACTCAAAAAGTCGATAAAATCACTGACTGCATCAGTCTTCCCTTGTTCCTGCAAATATGAAGTTCACATCTTCTCCACCTTTAAGTGGACAATCAAGCCATTTCTCCAAATCTCAAGATGCATGATATCATTCTCAAAGCATTTAGCAAGAGGAACAAGTTATGTCTGGTTGCATTGTTCCTGCAAATACGAAGTTCACATTTTCTCCACCTTTAAGTGGACAATCAAGCCATTTCTCCAAACCTCAAGATGCATGATATCATTCTCAAAACATTTAGCAAGAGGAGCAAGAAACTTTGCACCAAAATCAATCCTAACCAAACAAGTTTTGCCTGCCACAGAAAGCATATTGTTCATTGCAATGAGAACCTCCACGACACAACACCAAAATATCTACACTAGAACTGTCCGAAATAAAATTTTCTTCATTCGCAATCTGCTCGCATGGTGATCCTTCATCAACTTGATGCCCTAATTCTTCCATACCGTCTTGGACATGTAATTTGGAATTTTCATTGACCCGTTAACTAATCCATGCTGCTCACTTTCAGTAGCAAATTTCTTGTCATCATTCTCTTCTTTTGCTGTGTTGAATTCCTTAGTTTTATCATCCTCATGTTTCGGAAGCAATGGTGATTTTTACATAACCAAAGATTCGCCTACATCACCATATAAGATATTATCCTCTTCCTCCAGGACATCATCTTATTTTGGTTTGACCTCCAAGGTGGTATCATTTTCCTCCATCAAAAGTTGTTTTCCCCCATCAAAATGTTTTTTGCACTCCGCCGATCTATGTCCGGGCTCTACACACTTATAATACCTCATCCCAAGGTCTCCCTCAATTTTGGCTTCCTGTCCTTCCATAATTTTGGTAGGTTCCAGCATTGGCAACCTGCTCTTTAACTCCACCAACATGTGGCAGCTACTGTCCCACATTTTGAGCCTCGTTCTGCACTGTTATAGGGGCTGATTCTCCATTAAAAGTGAACTGCAACCTTGTGGCTGTTGCCGAAGCGTGAAACCTGCTCGTTTTGTTGCTTCTCCACCACCAAAGCGAGACTAGCCAAAATGAATGCAAGAGTAGAACTTCTTGTATGTTGGGCCTTAGTCCGCTAATAGTGTGCCACCATATATTCTTCACTCTCTGATAGGTCATTGTGCGCTATCAACTGATAAAATTCTTCAGTGTAATCTTCCACACTACGTCTTCCTTGCCTTACATTATGCAAATGTTGGTACATCATTTGGACATAATTAAAAGGCAAAAATTGTTCCTTCAAATTTTCCTTTATCTTTTCCCATTCTACAATCTTTGGTACCTTGATTGTACTGCCAAGTAATCCGTAGTTGCTCCCACCATGCCAATGCTCTACCTTTTAAATGAATAGCTACGAGCTTGACCTTCTTGCAATTGGTATCTCGTGGTATTAAAAAATACAGCCAAGCGATAAACTCCTGTAAAACTCTGGAATCTCAATTTTGATATTCACCTCCCAACGATAGCTGGTCCAGTTTTCGAGTGATCTATGGCGATGCAGAACATAAAACGAATTTCCAGCAAAAGTTCTTATCCTGGACAGGTCATCCTCCAACGGGAAGTTGTTATTAACCGGCGGGTTGATAACATGTTGAGCAAATTGCTGGTTCCACATCTCAACTTGTCTCCACAGATTATTGACTTCGTTTTGGACTTGCTGGGATAAGGGCTTGGCTGGACCGCATCCTATGATGTTCTCCTCTCAATTGTTGTCGTAGAGGCATGCTTGAGTCGTTGGAAAGTCGAAACCTGAGCTGTGATACCAACTGATGCCCCCTTAACAAGAGAGGACAAACAATTGTAGTCTAAAGCAAGAGAGAGGTCAACGAAGAAGGAAAAGAATGCTAGAACAAGGAGAAAAAACGAGCAAACAATAGTTGCTGCAATTCTATTAAGAATGATATTAATCACCATCTCTCCAATACCCTAGCCACCCTTTATATATATAGTCTCCTCACAGTCTTACTATAATTGGCTTTATTTTAATATGGAAAAGTTACTAAAAATCAGAAATTTACATAAAATCAGGAAGTTTTCAAAAACAGAAACAGGGAAAGTTTTCAAAAATTAGGATATGAAGAGTTTCCAAAAATCACAAAGTTGATAAAATCACTAGTGCATCAGTAAAACTCAGGATATGCGAAGACTACAGGTAATGTGAAAATCTGGTGGGAATTGGGAAGATATTGTAGATTCATAGTATAATAACATGGTGGAATGGGCTGAAAACAAGGAAATAGGGGCAACTACTTTTTATCTTTTTTGAGATTAATCAAAATTATTTTTTGTTGTCATCTCGTCGTCCCCCCTCCCTCCATTTGGGCAGTTCTGCAACTCTTGATATTTGTATTCGTAGATTTATATTCATTCAAGTTGAAACCTTTCAATGAAAACAAATGGACATTATTGAGGAGATTCTTCGGAAGAGAATCTTGTTTCCACGAAGTAGACTCGTGAGCCTCCTTGGATAGTTGGATGATTTAGCTATTCCTATAGGGCACCTTAGCTTGTATTAAGAAAAGATGAGAGACTTGATAATTTAATCTCTACACAGACAAAACATGTATTACTACCATGATCTTATCATTTCTAGTTTTACTATTACTTTTAAGTAGTATTTCCGATCCTGACATCTCCTCTGAATGTCCTATAAACACTATTCAATTGACATGTTTCTCTTTTTTCTTTCATCAACAGGAACTACTATTCTTAATGCCATAAAATCTACGCTTCACAAAAGCACAGAATATGTTTACCTTGAGAACCCTGATAGCGACTATGTGAAGTCCAGCAACTTCAATTATGCTATTGTGGTTGTTGGCGAGCATCCTTACACTGAGAGTGAAGGGGACAGCCTAAAACTCACAATAGCAGATCCTGGACCAAGTGTCATCAACAATGTCTGCAGGGCTGTCAAGTGTGTTGTTGTTGTCATATCTGGTCGACCTCTTGTGATTGAACCATATATTTCCTCAATTGATGCACTGGTAGCAGCCTGGTTACCAGGCAGTGAAGGCCGAGGCATAACTGATGTCCTTTTTGGGGACTATGAGTTCACCGGAAAACTTTCACGAACTTGGTTCAAAACTGTAGATCAACTCCCGATGAACATTGGGGATCCGCACTATGATCCCCTCTTCCCCCTTGGATTTGGACTCACCACTAAGTTAGTAGTGGGAAGGTAAATATCCATTTGTTAGATAATATCTTCCGTAGTCTATAATGTTTTTCACTTTGTGTTTATACAGTCATAAAAGAAAGGTGGTTGGACATACTCTATGAAAAGAATCTCTTCTATTCTGTTGCATGGAATTTGATAAGAATCCATATGTATTTCACTCCATTTGAAAGTTCAAAACAAAATCATTCATTGTTTTACGATTGTTTTTTAATTTACTTTTTGATCAAATTCAAGAAATGACATAACTTACGAATTTTTTACCCTTTCCTTGCGTGTCACTGCTAATTTTTCAAGTTGAATCTTTCTTAGATGATGCCTATTCTCTCTGTGTATACTTTGTACTTCACATGCTTGGATAAAAGTGAATTGTGGTTATGAGTATGTATTCCATTGTGCAAAATTTTCATACTATATATTGATAACTAGTTACTTCAATTACTATTTTTTTGATGAAGAACTTAATTATGGACATTATTTGACTGCTGATTTTGTTTTCTGTAGGTCTATCTCAGCTGGTGTTGATGGAAGGCCGCACATACTTATCAGTATTGTTTGTATATTTATCAGTTTTGTATTTTACAAGACAAATAAATTATTTTTAGGATGAATTAACCTCAATTTTTTTTCTTTTTTCTTTATATGCATTTCCCTTTTCATGAATAATCCAGAAGATGGCTAGCTTCGATCCGTTGAGCAGCTGGCTATAGAAAAAGTAATTGGATTTAATTGAACAATAGTTTTTATATTTAATTTTCAAGCTTTTTCTTAGCAAAAGAAACAAGATTTCCAGCATCTAATAAAAAAAACATTAATTTGAAGTGCTCAGTATTCTTTGTCCAGTGATTGTGTTACAGTTCACTATGGTAACAGATGATGCTTATAACTGTTTCATAGTGTTCTCAATTGCTTTGGACAATATTGTCTTGTCTCCCTTACAAATTAAGTACATTTATATATATGTATAGATGTATAACAAGGAGATCTTAAAAAAAGGTATAACAGCACCACCTATAAGAGAGACCAAGAAGCCATTCCATTCAACTAAGCAAACCCATATGCAGGTCAATTCTTCTGCAACAACACTTAATCAGACAAACACCATTCATTGATAAGCCATTTATTAACTGGATCACCTTTAAACACTCCAAGAGTGGCTTTGAAGTCTAATGACCTCCATGAATCTCTATCGGGAGAGTAGTTTCATCCCTGTATACAGACTAATTCACCTTCACTGAAAATATACACATAAATACAGATGAAGATGACACAAATTGTTCAACGGCAATCAACATTCAAATTCAAATTTCCATTACTCAATGAACCGCACATACTCTGAATCCACAATACAGAATTACAACTCTTAAGCAAGGAGTATTATATTATTTAATGTGTTATATTTTTTAAAAAACATAATATACAACATATACACACACTGATAATTCGATATAAAGAACGAAACCATTTCAAGAAAACCTTCTTTGAAAATACATTATACTTTTGTTGCTACAAAAGGAACCTTCCTTGGAAATTAAACCTCAACTTAGGTAACAAATTCAACTCTGAACAACTAATGAAATCATCAGTAGCATTTTGTTGCATCTCATTCTCATCACTACAAAACTCACAAGATTCATTTGGAGGTCTCAAGTGCAAGCAGTGGTCAATTCTATCTTCCAGCCAAGCCAGTCTCCTTTCGAAACTCAAAACTCCGGCATGCATACTCCAAAGGTCAACTTGGGCTACCTTTGCAAAATAAGGAAGCAAAATGTAATAATCGCCCAATAATCAGAATGCAACCCCCCACCCCCCCCCCGCGGGGCGGGTCGCCAAAGGGGAGGTCCCCCTCGCGGGTCGTCAAAGGGGGAGGTGAGGGGTTTGAGTTCCGTAGTGGACAATTCGCGAAATGTGTGAGTACTTGCAACCAAAAATAATAAATAATAAATAATAAATAAATACATAAACAAAAAAATAGATAAAAATCAACCTTCAAAAAGCACCAAAAGAGATAACTGTGCATCCAACAAGTGAAAATGTTTTCTTGAAAGTGCTCAAAAACTGATCAAATAAACATCAAACCTCTCCTGGCAACATTTTAACGTTTCAAAGTAAAACCTTGAGAAATTTCCAATTAAACCATCTGCTAAATTTTCTTTTCCCAAGATAAGTAATGAGTTATACAAATACATAAAAGCACAATATCTCATTCGTAGGAATGTTTTGCCAATACATAAAACAAATAAATAATTAACATATGCAATTGAGCAATATAATTACCTTTTGATTCTGATAAAAATGCCAAAATTCATTAATTAATTTCGCTTCCTCATGACCGCAATAAGTAGAAAGCACTATATATTTAAAACTATAAAACAACAGAAAAATACAAAACCATGACAAGCTATTACCAAAACTTGGTATAACATACATATAAATAAATAATTACATTATGTGTCACCCAGCTCATCATATATTGCTTCAAGGTTGTGCAGAAGCAATTTCAAAATATACAGAAAAATACAAAACCATGACAAGCTATTAGGAGAAAATAATAAATGTTTTACCAAAACTTGGTAAAACATATATATATAAATAAATAACTACCAGATGTGTCACCCAGCTCATCATATTTTGCTTCAAGGTTGTGCAGAAGCTCTGCAGCATCAGAGATGGTAAGAAATTTTATGGGTATAGCTTTTTCTTCTTATTTGTCTGTGTTAGTAATGGTAGAATAGCTCTCACCTATGTAACGTCAGTCAATAAATTATTATAAATCATCCCAAGATTAGCCCACGACTTATAGTGCTACCACCCCATAAAGAAACAGAAAAGTTACAGATTTACCATTACTAAAACAAAACAAATAAGAACTTAAAATCTAGACACAAAAAATATCTTACCATCTCTCGAAAAACATGTATATATATATATCCAAACTATCAAAAGAGAAGCAATCATCATACGATTTTCCTGCTTAGTAGTGGGTGGTTTGAGATCCGAAATCAAAAATATATAGTGAAATCCAAAAGTAGTACAAAAGTTCTTTGATTTTATTTCTTTTAGAAAACGTTGAACAAGAAGTTCTTAAAGAAATAAAAATCAAAGAACTTTCGTAGTTCTTTTGTATGTGGAGCGGGGAGGGAAGAACAAGCGGAGCAAGGAGGGTATGGGTAAGAAGCAGAAGAAGGGTTGGAGGAGGCAAAATAGGTATGGGTTTATATAGATGGTCATTGACCCTAAAACATAACGAGGGCAAAAGAATTTAAAAGAAATAATACAACCCAATCAAGAAGAATTACTCAGAAAAAATGGTCGATGATCATTATTGGAGGTGTAGGCCTCTATTTATATACAAAAAGATGGTAGAATTATGGTAGGACTTGCCTTACTTGTTCTCAAATTCATTCCATATATCATTATTTACGTGTAGAGTTCTTTCCTTTTATAATTCTTTCTATGCCAGACTTTCCTTCTGTTTAACTTTCCTTTCACGTAGGTTCCTTCGTTTAGTAGGACTCTCTAAATATGTTTGGGCCGAATGCACCTTGGGCCGGCTGAGCTTGCTTGATGGGCTGAGCGTTTGAGTTTAGCATTAACGATATTGGACCGAATGGAGACCTAATTTGGGCTTGACCAAGATTGGGCTTCTGTAATTCAGCAAAAGATTAAAAGCATAATTTCGTATTATAGTGATGTAGACTATTTTTACTGAAAGGGGATTTTTCTCTCCACCGATCTATATCTATATCTATATTTATATTTATACTATTATTAGATGTGCAAAGTGTTTAGTATTTCACTATTTAATTATTAATATAAAAAATATTTATTAATTGATATAAAACTCTAAAAATTAACTAATAAAATTCAAATTACCTATTTATTCTAAATCTATACTATTATTAAAAGAGTTTTTATAAATTCAAAGTACAAATTTTCTAATAAATCAATACTATTATTAAAAGAATTTCTATAAAATTGTAACACAAAATTTATATATATATCTGTACTATTATTGTTGGGCTAAGAAGAAACTCATATCTATAATTTCATTTATATTTAAATGAATATTTGGACTTATTGGGGATCCGCACTATGATCCCCTCTTCCCCTTTGGATTTGGACTCACCACTAAGTTAGTCGTGGGAAGGTAAATATCCATTTGTTAGAGGAGTTCTAATAACATCTTCCATAGTCTATAATGTTTTCACTTTGTGTTTATACAGTCATAAAAGAAAGGTGGTTGGACATACTCAATGAATGAATCTCTTCTATTCTGTTGCATGGAATTTGATTAACAAAATCATTCATTGTTATACGATTTTTTTTAATTTACTTTTTGATCAAAATTCAAGAAATGACATAACTTACAATTTTTACCCTTTCCTTGCCTGTCACTGCTAATTTTTCAAGTTGAATCTTTCTTAGATGATGCCTGTCTCTGCTGGTGTTGATGGAAGGCCACGCATACTTATCAGTATTGTTTGTATATTTATCAGTTTTGTATTTTACAAGACAAATAAATTATTTTTAGGATGAATTAACCTCAATTTTTTTTTTTTTTTATATGCATTTCCCTTTTCATGAATAATCCAGAAGATGGCCGGCTTCGATCCGTTGAGCAGCTGGCTATAGAAGAAGTAATTAGATTTAATTGAACAATGGTTTTTATATTTAATTTTCAACAATAACTAACAGCTTTTTCTTAGTAAAAGAAACTAGATTTCCAGCATCTTATAAAAAAAACACTAATTTGAAGTGCTTAGTATTCTTTGTCCAGTGATTGTGTTAGAGTTCACTATGGGAACAGTCTAACAGATGCTTATAACTGTTTCATACTGTTCTCAATTGCTTTGGACAATATTGCCTTGTCTCCATACATGTATATATATGTATAGATATACATATATATACATGTATAAAAAAGGTAGATAACAGCACCACCTATAAGAGAGACCAAGAAGCCATTCCATTCAATTAAGTAAATCCATATGCAGGTCAATTCTTCTCCAACACTTAAATCAGACAAACACCATTCATTGATAAGCCATTTATTAATTGGATCATCTTTACAAACTCCTAGAGAAAAGGCTTTTTGAGTTATGTTACTATACGTTTTTAATGTATAAAGATTGAATCTTGGAAAGAAAATGAGAGTTTTGAGTTAAACTTATTCGAGTTCCGTGTGACGAGAAATTACATGTTTTGATGGGTTTATTATGTGTATTTAACATTTTGGTTTTTATTTTGCCTAATGACCTCCATGACTCTCTATCGGAAGAGTAGTTTCATCCCTGTATACAGACTAATTCACCTTCAATATATATAGGATCTACTGTGAATATACACATAAATAGAGATGAAGATGACAAGTAGTTCCATGGCAATCAACACTAAAATTCAAATTCCCATTACTCAATGAACCACATATATACTGAATCCACACTAAAGATTATTTTTAAAAAAAACATAATATGCAACATATACACACTCACACTTATAATTCGATATAAAGAACGAAACCATTTCAAGAAAAAACCGTCTTTGAAAATACCCTCATATTTCCAAATTATACTTTTGTTGCAACAAAAGGAACCTTCCTTGGAAATTAAAGCTTAGGTCACAAATTCAACTCTGAACAACCAATGAAATCATCTGTAGCATTTTGTTGCACATTCTCATCACTACAAAACTCACAGGATTCATTTGGAGGTAAGTGCAAGCAGCCGTCGATTCTATTTTCCAGCCAAGCCAATCCTTTCGAAACTCAAAAACTCCGGCATGCATACTCCAAGAAACTTTAACCTTTCAAAGTAAAACATTGAGAA